GGACTAGGTAAACTCAGCGACTACTGCACCCAGGATGGGGGCACCATGAGTAGGCAGACAAGTCAGACCAGCTTTTCCACTGCCACTTAGGCAAGCTACACTCTGCCTCTGCTCTGCACAGAAAGACCATGCAGAGAGGCATTTAAAAGTCATTTAAAATAAACTGATGATATTCTCTATTTTGGTGGTTATGTTCTTACTCTGTTACTGTGACATCAGGCAAGTACTCTAGTCTCTTTTACTTCAGTTTTCTTGGCTGTAAAATTAGGGCTAGTAACTGGCCCCTGTCCCTACTTTCTAGAATTGTTTTAAGGGTTAAGTAAATTAAGGTGTGTAGCTAAGTGTGGTTGTGCATGCCTGCAATCCCAGAACATGGGAGGCCAAGGAAGGAAAATCTCCGCCAAGTTCAGGGCCACCCTGGGTTACACAGTGAGTTCGAGGCTGGCCTGAACTGCATAGAGAATTCTGCCTCAAAAAACAAAACAAAACAAAAAATACATGGAACTAAGTACTTAACACAGTGCCTGACAACATTGGTGACTGTGTTATCATAAGCACCTGGAATAAAAAAGGAAATAAACCAAATCAAAAATATATATACAGTTCCTATGATGTCTGTCATCTCTTTCCCCTTCCTCTCCTTTTAAGTAATAATGAAAACAATACATAGACTGAAATTTTCAAAGACAGTATTTTTAGTAATAAATTTCAAGCTTGTATAACCATCTACACTGAACTCATCCCTGTTTTGCTCACGCTGTCTCTTCTTTCTGGAGTATCAGCACTGTAACTCACCTCTGCATATCTCCTAAATCCATATTAAGTTCAGTCTGTACACAGCTTTGCACTAATTTGCAATGTAATTTGTAATGAAATTACTTTATCGAAATCTCAATTCATTACAACTTTTCTAATTTATCATGTCTGCTAGCATTTCCATCTCTATACCCTCCATACTGTCAGTGCCACCACCAACACTAAAATCAAATATCTAATTTATTCCTGCGGACACAGCAAGTGATTAACACATACTGATGGAAAGATCACAATAAGATTACTAGACAGAAAGGTTAAGAAGGTGCCAATAACTGTATGTAGTGGTAAAGCTGTATTTTCCTTTGGCCCAGAGGGAGACAAACTGGTAGGTGGCAAGCAATCCCTGATATACCATTCATTAGGACTACATTCTGTACTGACAGCTATCTGAGAGTTTCCAAGTTCACACTGACATCTTGCTGCTGCAAGGGAGTTCTGGGAATTGCTGTTTTCCCCTTTGCACTAGCAAAGAGCTAACTCCTTACATGGCAAACCACTTTGGAATGCTTTCTAGTTCTCAAGGAGAAGCAGTTACTCCTCAGCCATTCATGAACCTCCAACAACTTAAAAGGTAGTAAGCCTAAGTTGGAATTTACCATGGAAACAAAGGGCCTCAAAACAGTGGGGGAGTTGAGAAATATAAGATAGTGTTCCTCAGAGATTTCTTCACAATTACCTCGCTAGCAGAATCTTTAGAAATTTATTTCTGGCTATACACAAAGACTCTCCAAGAGCATCATTTTGAATATATGACTTATGTATATGTTTTCCACTTTATTCAAAAGTAATTAAAAATTTTTCATATTTGTAATACTGAATAGTGACATTCATTTTGCTAAATTATTGCATGCATATAACCTATCTACAAAAAATAGATAAATGAATTAAAAATTTTAAAAAGGATTTGCATATAAATTTTATATTACCGTTGTTTTGTATTTTATTTAAAATAAAGCTTCAATTAAAAAAAGAATATTGGTAGGTTTAGAAGGTATTTGTGTCTGGGAAGACAGATGGGACAGCATTCTGGATGCATGGAGCAGGTAATTTTTCATATTTTGCAATAAATGTGGTCCTGCAAGAACACATTGTTACATTTATCCCCATTCCAAGTGCCGTGAGCCTGTACACCACACAATTTAGCACCCTAACCTGGAAATCGTAACTGCTGCTTAATTACAAGAGGTCAAACTAACCATAGAATGCAATGCTAACAAGAAAAAAAAATCTGACTACAGCTATTTTTGCTCACACAGAGTTAGGACCTCTAATGAGAAGATTTAAAAAGAATTCCGAGAGACAGCATGTCGTTCTTATGCACTGAGTGAGTAGAGCCCAGTGCAGCACGTCCCCTGTGGTGGCAGCCCATCTTCTCCCTAGGACACAGGATTTAGATTTAGATGCTGGAAAGCAATGCACATAAGTCAGCTCAGAGAGAAAGTTAAGGTTTAAAAGTAGAGGAAACCCATATAATACTTAAAATCAAATTTAAAAAATTTTTCTTGGTGATAAAACTGTAATTAAATCTTATTTAACTGTTTCCTCTAATGACATCCATTTTAATTAGGTTTTAATAGACTGGCAGCCACAACCTATAGTTTTATGAAGCAAAGTAAAATTACAGTCTAGGAAGACATTTAAGAAAAGAGACCCATCAACGCAGATGAGAGGTTACAATCTATCCCTAAAGACCCCCACAGTAATTAAGTGTGCTGAACAGAGAGCCATTCAGGCTAACAGTAGGTGTGCTCACCACCAATCAGCACTGAGTTCTTTGAAATCCAAGAGTTATTTCTGGGATTTGCCTTCCAGAAAATATGCATATCACTGAATAAAGACTGCAACTGTAGGGGTGTGTGTCCTATAGTTTCTACCAAATGTACAGCCTCTATCCTATTACAATGGGTCTTTCTGTCTTCAGTTTGTAATGTATACTTTTTTTTACAATGGGTTATGACATATTATTCATCATGAGAATACCGTCACGTTTGAGAAAATGAACATCATGTACAGAAAGTAAAATTAATACCTGAAAAACTGATTCCTGTAACAAGATAAATGCATCCACTGATGAGATGCATTAAACAAGATCTTAATAGTACGCATCTGTATGTATTTCATACTATATTATGAAAACCAGGGAGTAAATCACACAAATTAACTCAGACCAAATGAATATCACAGGCACTTATATTAGAAAAGAAAAACAGAAAAATCAGTCTCTGAGTTAGCTGGAAGATAGGGAAAGAGATGAGCCTGTGGCTACCACAAATATGTTTGCATATATTTATTTGAAAGGGAGAAAGTTAAAATGAATGTGTTCTTTTTAAAACAAGTTTTGAAATACCAACAACTTAAAATTTTCATAAATCACATATAATGAGAATGTTAGAAAGAGATATCTGGCCCTATGAAAAAGATTTTGTAATTTTCCGGCTGACAATGTGATGGCTCCATCTCCCTTTGCCAAGAAGCAGAGTTACTTGGCTAAGATACTCTCACTTACACACTTTCGTCAGATGAAGGCTTTCATGCCAGGAATCTTTTTTTTCTTCCTGGTGTGTTGGCCACTGCCAGAAATGGACCCTTCGAATCCACTGGTGCTAAGGAGTTAAGCATCTGAGATTTAATTTAACAGTTTCAGCTTTATTAAGCTGTCACAGAGCAGCCCCACTTTGATAACAGTAGCTGCTCCAATTATGGCTTGGTTTAGGGTTGACAAGTATAATGATTCATTCGTGGCACATGAGAAGCAATAAAAGGTTGTTTTGCATTACAGCTTTAAAAATGTGGGCACTTTTTTCATTTAATTTGTCACTTAGCTTTTGCTAAGAGGACATTTAAATTGCAGTAAGAGGCAAATGGGGCTTTTAGTTTAAATGTAATCCCCATATTTAAATGATCTGTAATGGTGCAGTGTTGGAGTGGGAACACTATTGTCTCACAGTGGGTCCTGATGGTGACATGTGACATTTGTATTCAGGTCCTGTATTATCCATGTGGCTAAAGGGCTTCCAATTTCATTTCACAGCCAGAAGCCTGCAGAAAACACCAATTAACTTGCAGATCCCATTTGCCGACAAAACTCAGCCTCTTCTCAATGTCTGGCATCTGGCAGTGCTCAGCATTTAATTCCAAAGCAGAGCCTTGAAGCAATGTGAGCCCTGTGTAGGGGCACAAAGTCAAATTCCCCCATTTTATTAAGCAGCAAAAGCCTTTCCTTTGTAGTCTAGAAGGAACTTTTAGTTAATTTTTTGGTGAATGAATATTAAGATGTGATAATGATTGTTCTACATGGGATTCTTCACAGAACTTAGATCCCATTAAAATGGCAAGTGACCTCTGTTTGCCATTACAGTACACAGAAGAATTTCTAACAGTTTAATAAAGATTTTGCGGTGGAGCAGACAAAATGTTATTTGTGTTCTTCATCCTGGTCTGAAAAGTAGTCCTTAGAGAGCATGACTAGAGTCAGCTGGCAAAAACTTCCACCCAATGAGAATTTGCACTTTTTACTGAGGGTTGAGGTATATAATTTTCAAGACCCACTTGGTAAAGTGAGATTAACTATGGATTAAATGTGAACAATGCAAATTTTGACTATGTCACTTGTTCTGTTTTTGGAAACCAGAAATATTCAGGTGGTATTTTCCAAATCGGTTATTTATAATTCTATGTTTTCTAAGCACTAAAGCTCTTTTTTTTTCCTTACATGGTCCCTTTTCATTGGAGTTGCTTAATGCCAACTAACCAATTCAACATGTACTACAAAGTTACAAAACTGAAGAGGATTTACTTGGAAAGGAAACCATTCTGTAGTCTACAAAAATATTTTTTAAACTATGTACTTAAACGCTTGCATTATCTAACACCACACTGTGTGCCCCCAAACATCATTCCAACCCATAAAATTATTAAACAACTAGGTTAAAATAATCTTTCGCCCATCTATTTAAAGGTAGATACCCGCACTTACTCTCCTCAAGAAAAGGCAACTCCCCCCAAATCCTGCCAAGGCTGTTTTCTGAAAATGCTAGCTCAAGTCCTCATTCTTCCTATTCTTCTAATATTGGCAACAAGTTCATGGACTTTCTTCAGCAATACTGTAACTATGTTCTTAAAACATTCAACTGTGGTCTTTCTCCATATACAACTCAATGGTAATTGGTAGGAAGCATATTTACCCAGCTCATCCCAGAGCTGCCTGTATTTGTCAGTCATCGCAGTGCCTTGCTGCCTCCAAAGTGACAGGCGAGGGTCAGCCATGAATTGCTCTGTTATCAAGGTCAACATACGGGCTCCATTGGAATCCCTCATCTTCAACATCTCCCGCACCTAGAGGGGAAAGCAGACCTTTAGAAAAATGTTCAAAAAACCACCAACCCCCTCAAACCAAAACAGCAGTACAAGAGACAAGCCATTTTCCCTTTATTCTGTGTGTGTAAGAGACAGAAGAAACCTTTTCATCAACCCTTAAGCAAAGAGCAGTTAAAATGTGATCTCTATCCTAAGTCCCAATTTAATGAAAGAAATGACCATTGGCTATGTTTAGAAACCATATGATGAAAGTTACTCTTACTTTGTAATTTCATAAAATTTTTGGTTTTGCTTTACACATCTGATTAAAGTAAATGCTTAAACTGTGTTTCATATGTTTGATGGAAACAAAATTTTTGAGGCCTCCAAAGTATCTCTCTTATCGAAACAAAGTAGACTCTGTGGTCAAGATTAGATTGCAACAACATAGATGAGGAGGTAATATTTTTAAAGCAACATGAAAATGTTAATGGATTTTTTGAAACATAATTTCATATACCATACAATTCATCAATTCAAGGGGCCAGGGATTCAGCTCAGTGGTTCTGCTGCCTGCCTTGCAAACACAGAGACCTGAGTTTGATTCCTGGTACAAACAAAAAAAGAATTCCATAATTCATCAATTCAAAGTGTACAGTTTTTTTTG